TGGTTTGGAAAGAAACCTAGGCTGTCGTTTCTAAAAGTTTGGGGATGCGAAGCTTATGTCAAGAAAGTTCAACCTGAAAAGCTCGAACCCAAGTCGGAAAAATGCGTATTCATAGGATACCCTAAGGAAACTGTAGGGTATACCTTCTACTTAAGATCCGAAGACAAGATCTTTGTTGCCAAGAACGGATGCTTTCTGGAAAAAGAGTTTCTCTCGAAAGAAGTAAGTGGGAGGAAAGTAGAACTCGATGAAGTACTACCTCTTGAGCAGGAAAGTGGCGCAGCGCAGGAAACCGTTCCTGTGATGCCCACACCAACTGAAGAGGAAAACAATGATGATGATCAAGGTACTTCGGATCAAGTTACTGCTGAACTTCGTAGGTCCACAAGGACACGTTCCGCACCAGAGTGGTACGGCAACCCTGTCCTGGAAATCATGTTGTTAGACAACAATGAACCTTCGAACTATGAAGAAGCAATGGCGGGCCCGGATTCCAACAAATGGCTTGAAGCCATGAAATCCGAGATAGAATCCATGTATGAAAACAAAGTATGGACTTTGACAGACTTGCCCGATGATCGGCGAGCGATAGAAAACAAATGGATCTTTAAGAAGAAGACGGACGCGGATGGTAATGTTACCATCTATAAAGCTCGACTTGTCGCTAAGGGTTATCGACAGGTTCAAGGGATTGACTACGACGAGACATTCTCTCCCGTAGCGAAGCTAAAGTCCGTCCGAATCATGTTAGCAATTGCCGCATACTATGATTATGAGATATGGCAGATGGACGTCAAAACAGCATTCCTCAACGGGCATCTTAAGGAAGAACTGTATATGATGCAGCCGGAAGGTTTTGTCGATCCTCGGAACGCTAACAAAGTATGCAAGCTCCAGCGATCCATTTATGGACTGGTGCAAGCATCTCGGAGTTGGAACATTCGCTTTGATGAGATGATCAAAGCGTTTGGGTTTATGCAGACTTATGGAGAAGCCTGCGTTTACAAGAAAGTGAGTGGGAGCTCTGTAGCATTTCTCATATTATATGTAGATGACATACTCCTGATGGGAAATAATATAGAATTTCTGGACAGCATTAAGGCCTACTTGAATAAGTGTTTTTCAATGAAGGACCTTGGAGAAGCTGCTTATATATTAGGCATCAAGATCTATAGAGATAGATCGAGACGCCTCATAGGTCTTTCACAAAGCACATACCTTGATAAGATTTTGAAGAGATTCAAAATGGATCAGTCCAAGAAGGGGTTCTTGCCTATGTTACAAGGTATGAGACTGAGCTCAGCTCAGTCACCGACCACGGCAAAAGATAAAGAAGAGATGAGTGTCATCCCCTATGCTTCAGCCATAGGATCTATTATGTATGCCATGCTGTGTACCAGACCCGATGTAAACCTTGCCGTAAGTTTGGTAGCAAGATACCAAAGTAATCCCGGCAAGGAACACTGGACAGCGGTCAAGAATATCCTGAAGTACCTGAAAAGGACAAAGGACATGTTTCTTGTTTATGGAGGAGACGAAGAGCTCGTCGTAAAGGGTTACGTCGACGCTAGCTTCGACTCAGATCTGGATGACTCTAAGTCACAAACCGGATACGTGTATATGTTGAATGGTGGAGCAGTAAGCTGGTGCAGCTGCAAGCAGAGCGTCATGGCGGGATCTACGTGTGAAGCGGAGTACATGGCAGCCTCGGAGGCAGCACATGAAGCGATTTGGGTGAAGGAGTTCATCACCGACCTAGGAGTCATAACCAATGCGTCGGGGCCGATCAAACTCTTCTGTGACAACACTAGAGCTATTGCCCTCGCAAAGGAGCCCAGGTTTCACAAGAAGACCAGGCACATCAAGCGTCGTTTCAACTCCATCCGTGAAAATGTTCAAGATGGAGACATAGAGATTTGCAAAGTGCACACGGATCTGAATGTCGCAGATCCGCTGACTAAACCTCTCTCGCGTGCAAAACATGATCAACACCAGAACTCTATGGGTGTTCGATTCATCACAATGTAACTAGATTGGTGACTCTAGTGCAAGTGGGAGACTGTTGGAAATATGCCCTAGAGGCAATAATAAAAGTATTATTATATTTCATTGTTCATGATAATTGTCTTTTATTCATGCTATAACTGTATTATCCGGAAATCGTAATACACATGTGAATACTTAGACCACACTATGTCCCTGGTAAGCCTCTAGTTGACCAGCTCGTTGTGATCAACAGATAGTCATGGTTTCCTGACTATGGACATTGGATGTCGTTGATAACGGGATCACATCATTAGGAGAATGATGTGATGGACAAGACCCAATCCTAAGCATAGCATAAAAGATCGTGTAGTTCGTTTTGCTAGAGCTTTGCAAGTGTCAAGTATCTCTTCCTTCGACCATGAGATCGTGTAACTCCCGGATACCGTAAGAGTGCCTTGGGTGCATCAAACGTCACAACGTAACTGGGTGACTATAAAGGTGCATTACAGGTATCTCCGAAAGTAGCTGTTGGGTTGACACGGATCGAGACTGGGATTTGTCACTCCGTATGACGGAGAGGTATCTCTGGGCCCACTCGGTAATGTATCATCATATTGAGCTCAATGTGACCAAGGTGTTGGACACGGGATCATGCATTACGGTACGAGTAAAGTGACTTGCCGGTAACGAGACTGAACAAAGTATTGGGATACCGACGATCGAGTCTCGGGCAAGTAACGTACCGATTGACAAAGGGAATTGCATACAGGGTTTGATCGAATCCTCGACATAGTGGTTCATCCGATGACAACATCGAGGAGCATGTGGGAGCCATCATGGGTATCCAGATCCCGCTGATGGTTATTGACTGAGAGCGTCTCGGTCATGTCTGCATGTCTCCCGAACCCGTAGGGTCTACACACTTAAGGTTCGGTGACGCTAGGGTTATGAAGATATGGATATGCAGAAACCCGAATGTTGTTCGGAGTCCCGGATGAGATCCCGGACGTCATGAGGAGTTCCGGAATGGTCCGGAGGTAAAGAATTATATATAGGAAGTGCTATTTCGGGCATCGGGACAAGTTTCGGGGTTATCGGTATTGTACCGGGACCACCGGAAGGGTCCCGGGGGTCCACCGGATGGGGCCACCTGTCCCGGGGGGCCACATGGGCTGTAGGGGGTGCGCCTTGGCCATCATGGGCCAAGGGCACCAGCCCCTATAGGCCCATGCGCCTAGGGTTTCCCCCTAGGAGGAGTCCTAGTGGTGGAAGGCACCCCTAGGTGCCTTGGGGGGGAGGGAAACCTCCCCTAGGCCGCCGCCCCCCCTAGTAGATCTCATCTACTAGGGCCGGCGCCCCCCCCCTTGGCACCCCTATATATAGTGGGGGAGAGGAGGGACTTCACACACCAGCCCCTGGCGCCTCCACCTCCCCCCGTTACGTCTCTCCCTCGTAGTCTCGGCGAAGCCCTGCTGCTGTGACGCCCTGCATCCACCACCACGCCGTCGTGCTGCTGGATCTTCATCAACCTCTCCTTCCCCCTTGCTGGATCAAGAAGGAGGAGACGTCTCCCGTCCCGTACGTGTGTTGAACGCGGAGGTGCCGTCCGTTCGGCGCTGGTCATCGGTGATTTGGATCACGTCGAGTACGACTACATCATCACCTTGCAAGCTTCCGCACGCGATCTACAAGTGGTATGTAGATGCAAACTCTCTCCCTAGACTCGTTGCTTAGATGAACTCATAGATGGATCTTGGTGAAACCGTAGGAAAAAATTTAATTTTCTGCAACGTTCCCCAACATCCCCGACCCATCAGGGTTCATGTCCTGGTGCTCGCATTATTCCTGAATTTATTTCAGGATTTCCGGCGATGTGCTATCAGTGGGAGGAGACGTTCCCGTCGATGACGAGACGCCTACGGTGACTTCGTAAATCTCAAGATGATATTTAGAAACAAAAATAAATACTCAAGGTATTTCCAGCCCGCGCATCGAGCGAGGCACTTTGCTAGTTCTAAAATAAAAAAACATAAAAGAAAAATCACAAAAAAAGATTTGCTTCGGCTTGACAGAATGCATCCTAACTAGATCTACAAATACATCAGAACAAAATCCATTTACCGAACAGATCCACAAATAAAAAAAAATCACATAAGCACAAGTACTCGCTCTGCTCGCCTAGCTGATGTCCAGCACACACTCATGAACTGTAAATGAAGGCACGGATAGGGATAATAAGTACCCGCAAAAAAAAAGAGGGGTAATAAGAACAAATAAGAGAGAAGAAAAATGAACAAGAACACGGAAGCTAATGAGGATGGAGAGTAGGCATCTTCTGGGCGAGGTACTATCGACGAGGACAACCGGTCGAGTTGCCACGTATCCGTCCACAACGCAAGAGTAATAAGAGCATCTATAATAGTCTGTATGATGGATTCGTTGGTATAAAGTCCACGTCAGCAGCCAACAGTATATCATACAAGTTCTTCAATGAAGTGTATGTTAGTCTGATGGGCCACACACATTAAATCAATGTAAATAAATTGATGGCCAGCACCCCGAGAGAAGGAAATTGGCTGCCGCAGCTCACACCAGGTCTAGCCAGGGCCCCATAAATTAATGTAATTACTCAGAGCTTGTGCCCACAACGTTGGTTCAGGATCATACGGTCACACACTCTCTCTTCTTTTATTTTAGGCCACCTCATCAAAAGAGTCTACATGGCAGATTTACCAACTATTATCACACGATCATTGGAGATGCCCTAAAGTAAATAAAGTAAAATAGACCTAAGAACATCGTAGTCGGCCATGACACAAGAGGGTGCACGAGAAAACTTAATGCACGAGGCCGGTAGAAGTTAGCGGGCACCGCATGATCGCCTAGGGTACGCAGCGCACACGTAGATGATCTCAACCGTGTACGTGGCTCTCAGCAGAGCACGGCTCATTTATGCACATCACTTCTTAATAATCACTGCCCATGCGGAGCATCGTCTCCTATAAATTGGGGCCATGCAAGTCTGCGTTTTCGCAGCAGGGAAGGCAGCCATGGAAAGCAAACATTTCATCAAGAGCGTGATCATGTGTGCACTCATACTGGGACTTGTCCCGGAACAAATCCAAGTAGCAGAGGGCAAGAGCTGCTGCAGAGACACCAGATCAAGAAACTGTTACAACGTGTGCGGTTTTAGGTACCCCAGTAGCTCCTGCTCAAAAATGTGTGGCTGTGTGCTCACAAGGGACCCCACATGTCCCAGGGAATACCCTAACCTCAACCTTCTCCCTAGCTCAGCTGGTACGTAAACCCAAGCCACTCTCTCTGTTTTCTCTGTATTATTTTGCTCCCAGATGCATGGAAGTTGCAATTAAGGTTGACTAATGCTTGCTGCTGCTGTTGCGGAGGAAGAACCAGATGCCGTTGAGTACTGCAAACTAGGATGCAGGCTCTCAGTCTGTGACAACGTCAACTCAGGTAGTAGTATATCTTAATTAATTCATCATCTGTATATATATAACTTTCAATTTATCATAAGAGGAAAAGTTTTTTTTTTCGGTTTGGAATGAACATTGCGCATATCTTGATCTTGTCATCAGCTGAGCTTCGCAAAGACATGAAAGTCGGCGTGGAGCGCTGCGGCGATGCGTGCGGCCGGTTCTGCAACGATGCCACCAACATTGCATCCGTCGATGCTTGATCATGTATGAGCATGCGCTGAGATCCCGGTGGCTTACCTTCTTCGTCGTTGCTGCCGCCTCAGCCGTTATCTAGTTCTTGCTTTAGCTATGATATGTTAGCCTTTGATGCCAACTACTGTATGTTGCACCCTAGTATCTGAAATGTTGTGTGGGTGCCCCGGTTCAGCTGGTGTGTGCTCTGCTTCTATTTTGGGATCTTGCATGATCCTTTGAGGTGCTGGGCTGGGGTTCGCCGTAATCCCCGGTCATGTAAAATAGTATGTCGTGTGTGGGGTAACAAAAACCCTAGTAGTAGTTGTGAACCTTGGTTTCTCTTAGGCCTTGTTCGATTGCGGGTGAATCCGAGTGGATTGAAGGGGTTTGAGGGGGATTTAAACCTCTTAACCGAACAAAGCCTTAATGAAATCGGAGAGGGAGGCCTCTCTTTTGATCAAGAAAAAGAAATGCACTGAGATCCCACGTTGATCCTTTATGTAGTATATCTGTACATACTTGAGGAAGATCTGCCATGAGTTCCAGAATTTACTTCGTTCACACTCAGTAGAGGAGCACTTCTAAACTTTATCTTCTACTCCCTCCGTTCATTATTATAAGATGTTTTGGATATTTCAATATGGACTGCATATGAACTGAAATGAGTGAATAAATGCACTAATAGACGGCTATATACATCTGATTCAGAAAAAAGGTTAGAACATCTTATAGTGGTGAACAGGGGGAGTAGTATTTAGTAAACCGGAGAAGCTCCGGTGATTGCCTTAACTTATTATATGTTTCTACATTGGCCACAAAGCCACATCATATTGCGCTGCCCAGCTTAGATCACAGGGAGCACCAAAACTATTCTCAACACCAGCCATTCCTCCGAACTACTTCGCTCACGGTTCCTGCATCGACTTCGTCGTACAGAATCGCACAGCGTCAGAGACCGCGAGGAATATATTGCTGCTTCCAATGTGCTCGGTGAGCTTCGACGCTTGCAGTTTTTCTATGACGACGGAACCAGGATTCGACAGAATGAGCTGCCAAAACACACAATACAAAACAACATTATCAGCTGCCAAGTGAAACAAGATTATTAGTTTTTAGAAAGTGTATGTGGTAGCTTGAATGGGTGTACCTGCATATCTCTTTTCTGAAGATTCTTGTATAGATCTTCAAGAGCATGTATGCCGCTTGTATCGATGTCGATGACCGCTGCACCAGCATTTTTCACCGGACTGCATCAGTACAATGATTGAAAAAAAGGTATTGTAGTTTGAAATTTCTGAGACCAACATATAATTCTACTTACGCGACATTTCCACAATCAGGAAACTGATTTTAGGCAATCCCACTGCTTTAGCTCTGTCTTCTTCGTCTGTCAGCCACCTAAGAATTCTGCCATGGAGCACCAGATATCAGGCCTATGAGGCTGAAGTTACTGAATTCATGTGTATTCTACCATTCTTCAAATTCAAAAAACATAATGTGTGATAAATTTACCATCTTTACCTTTCTCGGACGTAATTAGAGTTGGAAAAATAAATAGCAGAATCAACCCTCACAATCACCACCCCAGGAGTAAGTTTTGCTTCTGGATACTGGCTGATGTTCCGGTATATAGTGGTGCCGGGAAGGTTTCCAAGTAGGGCTGTCCTTGGCCTTGTTACTTGAAGAAGTATTTTGGCAAATGAGATTGCTACCTGGTAATATTCAGAACAACAAGTAAGTTCTACTTATGTCTCCACAAAAAGACATGGACATGTTATTATTTTTACATCAAAGATAATGGTTGGTCCTTACAGCAATCAAGAGGCCAATCTCAACGGATACAAAAACAACACCGAAAAAAGCTCCCATGCAAGCAATGAAGTCCAATTTGTCAACTTTCCAGATGAGAATTGCTGCTTCGTAGTCCACAAGGCCGATCACCGCAGAAATAATGATCGACCCTAGGATTGCATTCGGTGTATATTTGAATAGCGGTGTGATGACCAACAAGGTAAGAAGAACCACTACTGACATAACCACATTGGATACAGGAGTCTTGCAGCCAGCCATGAAGTTAACTGCCGAACGTGAGAAAGAACCTGAAAAAGAAAATACAGGATATAGATTTTGGCACTGTATTTTCCAGACAGTTTACTGTCAGCTCTGCTCGGCAAAAAAGGGTGGAGCTACCTGTTGTGACATAGCAAGATGTCATTGAGCCTACTATGTTCATGGTTCCAAGTGCTACCATCTCCTTGTTTCCATCTAACTGGTAGTCCTTCATAGCAGCAAATGTCCTTCCAATAGCTACAGCTTCCTGATGAAGTAGTCACACACAGATTGATGAGAAATCTGGAGATGCACATGACAGGAAAAACAAATATGTGTTCATATCAGCATACATACTGTCAAACCAACTATGCCGCAAACAACACCGATCTTGAAACCTTTTGCAACAAATGGGCCGGTGAAATAAATCTTGTGTACTGATGATGGGTTGATTCCCTGTTCAATGTGCTTCACCTGATGACCAAGTCAAAATTTTAATCCATGACAAACAGTGTATGGTCCATATCACTGTGCCCTAATTTTACTAACTTAGTCACTTACTATCTGAACTCCTTGCTTGTCGGCACGAGTAATGTATACAAAAAATGTTGCTAGAATCACTGAAATTATAGGAGCAATAGCTGGCACCCAGAAAAGCTTCCTTTTCTTCTTTCCCTGTGTAAATGAAACATCCTTAGTGGATATATAATTTTTTAAATGTTAAATGTGTTGTAAACATACAAGGAAAAAGAAATTCTTACGATGTACTTCGCAAACAGAAGGAAAACCAGGAAAGATACGCCAATCACAATTGTCTGCCAGTTCCACTGCATATACAAGCATCTCCTTGTCAGTATACTTTAGATAACTCACACAGGCAGTAGTACTATCTTTAGCCTATGCTAATCCCTTCCTGACGCGGGAAGACCACAAAAAAGAGGGGAACAAATTCACCCACCCGCTTCCAAATGAATATGACAAATGAGCTCCAAACATCTAAAAACACTTCAGCACTTGCAAAGAGATATTTTTTTTCCCAGATAAGTTATTTCCATATCGACATGGCATGATGTACTTCTATTAATAATGAAAATATTTTTAAGTTCTAGGAATTACAATGATGCTTTTATAATTCCAAAAAATGCAGCGCATGATGTTCTGACCAAGATATAAAATCGACATGTTACTGCTAAGTATATGAGATACGTACCCCGTGATGAACTGATCTCCAGACAGATTCCATGACAGAAACTATGTCGGTTTTCCTTGTAAAGTTTGCGATGCCCAACACGTATTTCAGCTGCTGCAGGGCAATAGTAATGGCAGCTCCCCCCATGAATCCGACAATCGCAGCATGCGACAAGAACTCTATAAGGAATCCTAACCTGAAAAAATTACCAACTCTTAGTCCAACGCACCTACATTATGTGCAAGCTTTTACTATAGGTTTGCATATTATACCTTAGAAATCCTAAGGCTGCTTGAGTGATACCAGCGAAGAAGGTTGCCGTGAAAGCGAGGCGCATGTATTCCTCCTTGTTTTTGACATGGTCAACCTCAGCTTGTAGAAGTGAACCTATCAAAAGAGAAACCACAGCAACTGGACCAATCGCTATATCCCTTGAGCTACCCATTGCAGCATAGATCAATGGAGGAATGAAGCTGGAGTCTGAAACCAACTAACGAAAGTAAATCATGATAGCAAAGCAAGCTTAAATGTTTCGCATCAAATCTCCACAACAGAGTCAAGAGGAGAAACTTACAAAGCCCATACTGCGGATCCAGATTAGCAAGCTTCGAATAGCCAATGTCCTATCAGAGTCCAACATTCAATGTCAGGCACGGTTTTTAATAAGTAGTAAAAAAAGCCAAGGTGGGCTAGTCATCCTTAATGATACCTGAGGAATACAGAGACTTGCGATGGTCAGTCCGGCAATCAGATCGCCTTTGAACTTGTTGAGACTGTAATCCCTACCCCACCCAAATATAGGAAACAAGAACTCCAGCCCCATCATGAACCTCCTCGGTCCGGATTGGCCCTTATACTGACGCAGCGGGTTGTCGTGGAAGAAAGTCTCCCTCAATGTTTCTGTAAACTCTGTGGCCAAGTTCTTCGGAGGGGGATAGCCCACTTTGTACACCAGCGGTGCTTGAGATGGGTCATTGGGGGGTGTCTGTGTGGTGATGCTAGGTTCATCTGCTGCCTCGTCAGATATATGATGAACCATCTCTGCTACTGGAACAAATTTTTGTTATCCTGGAGAAACAGTTGCATTAACTTTAGAACTGGAGAGGGCATGGAGGTTAGAAGTTTACAGTACTCCAAGATTGCAACAAATTATAACCATATAAACACCACCAAAATGACATCACGAAACGATGACCCTTACATGCATAGAAACTATCGATATTCATCATCTTTAATGGTTTTGTCTTTTTTTTCTATCTTAACATAGAATGAATTTGAATTTTAACTTTTTTATATTGCTAGTAAACTGATAAGTATGTAAACTTATTTTGCCGTGACTAGTTTTCGTACTAGAAAGAGATTGAATCAGCAGTATGTTAGTGGAGTACAGGTTATCCTGAATTTTTGTTTTGGGAGAAATATAGGTGATGCTTACTCAAGATAAACACGTACCTTGAGCTCGGACAACTAGAAGGCAAATCTTTTCGTACGAGGAGCTAAGAATAGCAACAGTGAATCCATTTTATGATATCTTCAAAATAGAAAAATATATTTGATATTTGATGCTCACTCTTATGTAGAACAACCATCTGTTTCTCTCAACTGTCCCATTCTAACCGTAAAAAGGATAAAAGAAAAGCTCGACTGTTTTGTTCAGTTCAGTGTGAATAGCGGATAATAATGGTGGAGTGTTGTTTCTTGTAAGCACGAGACTTTGCGGTGTTGGTCTGAAAGTCCAAGCAGGATTATTCAAACGATAGCAATAATTGGTGCAGAAAGTTCCAACTTCCAACTATTCGCTTTGAATCCTGACCCAACGGTAATAGATGAGCAACTAATACTACTACCTCCGTCTAGGTGAATAAGTCATCCGCGTAGTTCTAGGTCATTGATTTGAGCAATTAAATATATGTTATATGTCATGAAAAGTATATCACTAGATTTCTACACGGATGTAGTTTCTAAATATATATATTTTGTTACATATAATACATATTTAGATAGTTAAATCGTCGACCTAGAACTACGCGAATGACTTATTTACCGAGACGGAGGTAGTAATAAAAGCCAAATGAGTCGAGTTTGTGCCTAGGCTGAGATAGTCCAACTAAGATGACAGAAAATAGTACATAGTACTGTACTACATCTGTAGAATTCTCCAAATCAAAGCTGAGACGAAGAGCAGACAGATGAACAGAGGCAGTTGTTTCCAAGTGAAGGGATTGGTTTATTAATCTAAAGAGTACTGTAAAATTTGACAACCTTAATCTTCTTATAATGAGCAGTGACTGATCACCATTCCACCTAAACGGGTCCCAATTGCGAAGAAAGAAGCCCTTACCACATTTATTTTCAGAAAACCTAACTAGTAGTAGTATTTTCAGTAGAAATTTTCATTTTCGGCCAGTTTCATTAGGCTGTGGATGGAACCAAGAACACTTGGTCGCAGCTTATATCAGTGAATTGCCGGTTTCTCATCCATAAAAAAAGAGATGGATAAACTGCTGATTTGCGAGCAGAGGAACTCATGGCTAACAACAATAGCTGCAGCCGTAACAGACGAAATGCGACGAGTTTGTATACAGAAAAAAAGAAGCACGAAGGACTGAAGGGGAGGGGAGAAGATGCGCATGGGTTGGATGAAAGAAATTACCGGATATACGGTGCTTCCTGTGATCGGTGGATGGAGCCGCCGCGCGCTCAGGGTTCACCGGCCCACGAATGGCGCATCCCTCTCGGCGTTGGCGCGGCGAGAGCGGATATATATATGCCTTCTGGAGGCACCAGGAGGATCCGCCTGCCGGGGAAACAAACACGCCCAACGGACAAAAGAGCGGCAATGGAAGGTAGCGCGATCTCTGCTGGTGGTTTGTTTATACCACGGAGAAGAGAGAGAGGGAGGACGGCGATGTGGACGTGCCGAACCAAGGAAGTCACGGCGGGCTCCACGGCCGTGGAACTGGAGCCGTCCTACGCCGGTCGGTCAACGGCACGGCGGTCAGGGTCTACGGGGACCAACGGCGGCGAGGGAAGGGTGATGTGGTTCAGTGTTTGGACCGTGGAATAGTGGTCGGGACGAGAGGTGAAGTGCATCGCGTGTGGAGCGGGGTGTTGGAATGGTCCAAGGGTGTAGCTTTCGCCCCTGTCGGGCGGGGCGGCGAGTTTGCCAGGACGGGAAGGGAATCCGTCTGTGCACATTTCAACCGTGTGGGACGTCCGGGGATGGGGAGAGGTGGACAAATTAATGGTTGATGAGATGTTTCCTCTTGCTTCTTTCGTTTCAAAATATAATTGAAGTTCTTTTTTGTGGGGAAAAATATAATTGAAGCTACTAATGCCTCCCCGGCGTTGCCGTGGGAATTTGTAGCAGTGCATAGGGTGAGGATTTATGGGGTGGGAAATATTGGAGCGTATGAAAAGAAAATATAATATATGTTTATTTGTACTTTTTTAAATAGAAGTTATCCTGCATTGAGTTGCTCAGTTAATTAGGAAAAACCGAGCGAAAATTAGATTGCCCAGTTAATTGTGGAGAATCGAACAAAAATCATCACAACCGCTGAGGGCTTTGACAAGACAGCGCACATCATCATCGTCGTCACTTCTCCTATGAGGCATCACCGCCACCGCTATCTCGTTCAATTAATCTTTTGCTTGAGAAAAATGATTTTTTCTGGAGGTATTATCTTTTGACCTTCCCTCTATGGATCAATTCCTTCACCTCCAACCAATAAGTCTCAAACTTTTACTTAAACAAAAGATCTCCTCCGCATATTTGTGGCATAGGTGCTGGTCCTAGATCTCCCTTCCAGAAGCGGAAGATGCCCCTTCAACTTTATGTCTTTTTTTTACGAGAAAACTTCCGATCTATCATCAACTGTCAATGTAGTACAAAGAACACTTGAAGTAAAAGTACATCCAAGTCAGTAGACCACCTAGCGACGACTACAAGCACTATAGCGAGCCGAAGATGCGCCGTCGTCATCGTCCCTCCCTCATTGGAGTCGGACAAATATTGTTATAGTAGACAGTCAGGAAGTCGTCATGCTAAGTCCCCATGGGACCAGCATAATTATGTTTCTCGCATTAAAGCATAAACTGTGCTTCTCAAAACTGAAACACAATTAGTACAATTTTGAAACACATGCCAGTTTTGAAGCATGGTTCTCAAAATCTATCAACTGAGATCTACTCTCTCTGTAACTTGATATGAGTCTTGACACTGTCATAGAATCTAAAAACATTTTATAAACAGTTACAATGGCAGTAGTTTTGAAGATCTTAAGGCAAGGATGCAATGACAAAAATGATTCATGATTTAGACGTGAGGGATAAATTGTTTCCAAAAATGAAATCTATGAAAAAGGTTGATTCTTTTTACCTCATGGCAAGTCATCGAGCACTTTGAAGCTGCGCGGCGGAAGGGGTGGCGCCGCCGAACGGCAGGAAGAAGGTGTGGGGCTGCCGCCGAACCGCGGGTAAAAAATTACGCCGACTGAGGACAGGATAACAACTGTGTTAGAGTGGTCATTTCAGTCAAAATCATTGTACTAACGGTACTGCCTTTTTTTACAAAATTTACATGGTGATTCTGGTAGGAAAACCAACGGCATCGAGCCCTTCAAAAAAAAAAATGCTGCATCGAGCTGAATCTGCTGAATGCTCCTAGCCCAACCGTACCAACGCTCAACAAGCTCACCGAGAAAACCCTTGCGGCGCTCTATGGTGGCAAACCCAGTCAGTCAAATTCCCCAGACCAACAGGAGCAGCAGAGCAGTACAGATTTGCCGCCTCGCCAATGCCAACCCCATGCCACTCTCGCCACCACTCCGCCTCATCCTCTCCTCCCGCCGCCGGCCCCTCGCCACGCACCACCGCTGCCTGTCCTCCTCCGCCGCCGCCGTAGCCGCTGCCACCCCGGCTACCTCAAGGGACCGCGCCGCCCACCTCGCCGCCGCCGTCCACGGCTCGGCCGCGGCCAAGAACTTTGCGCACGCCATCCGTTTGACGAAATCCCTCGTCCAGGCCTCCTCCCCCGGCGCGCGCCCGGGCGCTGCCGCCTTCGCCGCGCTCGCCTCCACCTCCAGCTCCCCTGGCCCCGCGCTCGGGGTGCTCGTCATCGCTCTCTCCCAGATGGCGCTCCACGACGAGGCGCTGTCCGTCTTCCACCGCCTGCCGACGCTGCCGGCGCTGCCCGCCTGCAACGCGATCCTCGACGTGCTGGTGAAAGCCCACAGGTTCGACCGCGTCTGGAAGCTGTTCGACGAAATGCTGAGCCGGGGGATGGCGCCGACCGTGGTGACGTACAACACGCTCATCAACGCGTGCCGGCATGAGGGTGCTGTGGCGAAGGCTCGGGAGGTCTGGAAGCAGATGTTGGCGAGACTGATTGGTCCAAATGTGGTCACTTACTCGACGATGATATCCGCACTTTGTGACGAGGGCTGCATTGCCGAGGCTGAGCGGCTGTTCCTTACCATGAAGGAAACAGGGATGCGACCCAACCATTACACATACAATGCACTGATGAGCAGCCACTGCAAGAGAGATGGTATCAAGAGGGCACTCACGTTGTACCAGGAACTGCTGAAGAGTGGTCTTGTTCCCAATGCTGTGATCTTTACAACGCTGATTGACGGTTTCTTCCAGGTGAACAGAACAAGTGATGCAAAAAATATTTTTCTTGACATGCACAGGTATGGAGTTGCTCCCACTGTGCCCGTGTACAACAGCTTGATTGATGGAGCTTTCAGGTCTGGTGATTCACAAAAAGCATTAACAGTTTATGAGGACATGACTCGCCTAGGTTTGTGCCCAGATGAGTTCACCTGCAGCATAGTTGTAAGAGGCCTCTGTTCTGGAGGTCAAGTGAAGGTAGCGGCCAGGTTTCTTGAAGCAATGCAGCAATCTGGTATTAATCTTAATGCAGCTGCATACAACGCGCTAATTGATGAGTACTGCAAGAATGGAAATCTAGCTGAAGCCCTGGCAACATGCACAATAATGAGTGAGGTTGGAATTGAGCCCAATGTGGTGACATACTCCTCCTTGATAGATGGGCATTCAAAGAAAGGGAAGATGGAAATAGCAATGGCTATATACACGGAGATGATAGCCAAAGGGGTTGAACCTAATGTGTTGACATACACGGCTCTGATTCATGGCCATGCCAAGGATGGTGACATCAATGCTGCTTTTAGGTTACAGAAGGAGATGGCGGAGGAAGGCATTTCTCCTAATTCAGTCACAGTGTCAGTTCTTGTTGATGGTCTCTGCAGAGAGAATAGGATTCAAGATGCAGTCATGATCTTCATGAAGCACTCAGGGCAGAAGAAGCATGCTGACATTCGTACCTGTTTATCGAACTCCACAACTGAGGAAGACCATTCAATCCCAAACAGTGTGACATACATGACCTTGATATATGGTCTTTATTTAGATGGCCAATACCGTGAAGCTGGTAAGTTCTTCTCTTGCATGAGAGAATCTGGTATGGTGCCCGATAGCTTCACTTACTCACTACTGATTCGTGGACAGTGCATGCTTGGCTATGTCTTGAATGCCATGATGCTCTATGCTGATATGGTTAAGGTCGGTGTTAAACCCATGACAACAGTCTGTCCTGACATTTGGTCAAGGGATGCACCAAATGATCTCAAAACTGTTGAAACATAAGTGTTGGCTCATCTGACTAGAATCAAGGCTTGAGAGAAGTTTCACAGAAGCCCAGTTTACAGATCGCGAACCCCATGACTTGTCAGTCATCACAATGAAGAACCATTCTGCTACATCTGGGACAGAACTGAGAGCTTGCCATCTCAATAGCCCTTCACATATGAGTTTCAACTAAGGGCTTCTTTTTGGAGAAATTGAACCTGCTTCTCAAGGCAAATGAAGGTTCAGCCAACTTCACATTAATTTGGATCATTTTGGACCACCAGCTCTGTGAATGGAAAATATGGGAAGTCCCGTACCTTATAGATGATATGTTGATTAATAGAAGCTGCACAAGATGATTGTAAGCTTTCTCTAAGGGACGCAGATGGCTATAATGAACAGAGCTTCAGAGTTGAAGCCCAGCTGTAGCAAATGACCGATTGACAGTAATACGATCTAGCACGCTAAACCGCTTCTGTGCTGGTTGATATACAAATTGCTTGTGTTCTGAGCTAGCTGAGCTCGGAGTAGAGACGGAGATGCAAGTGTGCAGCACATGCTGCACTAGGACTATAATGGACGATATGATCCATATCACCTTAGTCATAGATAATTTGTACAGCTTCGCTGCTGATAGTCAAATTTGCTGCCACATGCGAGATGTGAAAGATGGTCTCCTATTTTTATGAGATTATTAATGAGGTTATGTAGTGCCTGATAGAATTATCATTGAGAATCTTGTATTTGTTTGAAATTTGAATGTTGATAGTGATTTGATAAAAAAATCACTCTGTTTTATTGATTATGGCACAGAAGTTTTTAATCGCACTTGTTAATAATGTGCGAACCCATCTTTTTCTTTTCTTTTCAAATTATTAGTCTGGTGTTGCAAAAAATAGGATGGTACAATCTGTCCCTAGGACTCCCAGAAGATAATGTCACCATTGTCACCAATAAAACCGAGATCCTTGAGCCTCCTTTCCTGGTAGTACTCAAGGTCATCTAATTCTTGCTCCCTCTCCTTGAAAATATCATTGATTTGCTCTAGTACTTTCTTTTCACCCACTCTCACTTCAATGGCGATTTGCTGTCTTGATTGCAAATCTTCTCTCTCCAATAGCTCTTCATCCTGAATATTTTATGCATGTTGTATCAGATTAATCAGGAGGTAACCAACAAATAAGATGAAAGTGAATAACATTCTTTTTTAGTAGGCTCACCTCTTCTATGGTGGTGTGGTAAGCAGCAAGAGCAGATTTGCAGGCATTCTGGATGACTTGGCATATTGATTCCTCGTTATCACGGCTCACAGGCAGTTCAAGGTGCTCCCAAACTTTATTTCTAAAGAGGGCTTCCAAGAGAAATGCATCTGTTCCCCCGAGACAAAGCAATCGCAGGTAAGTAATCATTTGAGGAGGAAGAGATTCGCCAAGGACAACATCGAAGTATGCGGTCTCCCCCATGCCGTTTAGCTCTGCAATGTCAAGTTTGTCTTCATAGAATGGATCAGATTCAGAGATCTCCAGCGTCAGAGTATATGAGTCCCTTGATGAGTTTGCTTCGGTGAACCCATAGTCAAGTGCCAATTCAGCATTACTCTTGTCCAGGTCATACTGAACATATATCTGTCAAAGTATATCATTAAAACTGCTGGTTATGAAAGATTGTGGCAAATATTACATTACATATAACGAAAGTAATAGAAGTTGATGCATGCCTGTTCTCCAGATTTAACCTCCATTGGCGTCCGCAAAGAGAACACAGTATCCCTACCTAAAAAGCCCTTTCCTTTGATCTCCCAGCAGGATTCTTTTGAGGTAATATCACCATTGTGATTTATCTGATTTGGCAAAGTACCAAAATGATTATAACTGAATGTATTCGGAATCTATAGGTGCATCATGTATTGAGGGCAAAAGCATAGGTAAGCAATCTCTAACAAAAAATATTCCAACAGGTAGCATGACAACTTAATCACTAAAATTACTAGGATGCCCATTGACACAAGGAGAATTGACCTGGGAGCATTTTGGATAAGCAACGTCGGACCATGTAGGCATGTTTTGAGTTCAAAGATCTTACCAGATCAGCAAACGGTATGAGGGCAAGCTTATCCCCACGGAGCTCCGGGAAAACCCTTGATCTTAGTACTCCGAATGCCCATAGGAAATCATCAAATGTTATCGTACCAGGGAAAAGGTCTTTATTCGCGTTTATGATCTCAGCTTCAACATTATCGAATTCGCTTCGCACGTACTCTTTCACACCCATCGTTGTGCTCAGCAATTGTGTTCCTGCAAAGCAAAGGACAAAAAGCATACAAAGTTAATTACTACATCGGGTAACTACTAATCCACAAAAGATCGACGTTCAAGTTTCGATAGCGAAGGCATGGAATTTTCAATTTTGCACGGCATGCTCACCTTGTATCTCCAAGAGCTCTTCTTCTGACCTGCACTGGAGGCACGAAGCAACCACTCGAAAGCATCAGAACGTGCAAGATGAGGTCGTGAAGAAGCAGCAAAGACATTTCATCAAACACATCAGCGTCACCTCACCAGAAGATGGTGGAGTCGGTCTGGCGCGGGAGGATGGCGAGGTAGGGCGCCCACAGCGAGTCCCCTCCGCGCGCAGCCTCCCTGAGGATGAGCAGCGAGACGGAGACCCACGAGCGGAGGACCCCGCCGCTGCCACAGACGCGGCCGAGGTCGGAGGCGGCGACGGCGTCCGCGTCCAACCAGAGCTTCTTGGGCACCTCGGCGACGACCTCGCCGCGGGGCAGGTCCCGCGCCGCCACGAGGCCGAGGCCCTCCGGCACGACTGCCGGGGCCACCGAGCCCGTCTCCGCTCCCTGGGAAGAGAGCCAGCGACGGAAGTCCTGCAGCGCGGCGTCGGAGGGCGCGGACACCGCCATCGCCGCCGCCGATGCCCTTGTGGCTGCAGCGGCCGCGCGCGGGAGCAGGTGGAGGAGGGGCCTCGGCCTCCTGGGGAAGCGGAGGACGGGAGGGGGTCCGTGACCGGAGAGGAGTCGAGGCGGGAGGAGGAGGTGGTGGAGAGCTGCCATGGCGCGCGGGGAGGAGACGGGTACCGCGACGTGGGTCGCGGAGGAGATGATTGTTTGGATTGGGAAACGACGACCGTTGGTTTTGTTGTGTAAATGGCGGGAGTGGATATGATTAGTGCTGGGCCCGAGCTGCAGTGTCATCAACTAATAACAGCATCTTGCACCTTTTACCAGTTCTATGTTAGCTACTCCATCTATTCATTTTTATAAGACCTTGAAAACATTTCAGACAATGTGCAAAACAGCCTATTTTAAGCTGTTTGAAAGGACTTACAAAAGTGAACGAAGGGAGTACTTTTTTTACGTGTATGTTAGCTAATTATTTGACCTACATGTAAGTTGTCCTTTCTTTCTCTGTGCAAGTCAGATTTTCGTCCCAACTTCTTCCTCTTGCCGTCATCAGTTCCTCGCCCTCCTGCCGCCCTTTGAAGTTGGTCGGGCAGTCTGCCAACGGCGCTGCCGCGCGTGCCTCCCCTTCTCCAAGCTGCCACCTCCACCGGTTTGCCGCATCCCTAGCCATCACTCTAAGGGCCAATTTGGTTTCAAGGGATCCCCACTATTTCGAGGCAGTAGAACCACGGGCCAAGTTGGCCCAGGGAGTTCCCTAAAGGCTAATTTGGTTGTTTGGGAAGTTCAACCCTGGCCCCCAACCCCCTAGGGGGATTTTAAGGAGCACGTGGAATCCCCTCCAGCTGGGGGGAGTTCCTCGCCCAAGCAAGTTACCATGTTGCCCAAATGGTAAACAGGGGAAGGGCAAGGAAAAACCCAAATAGTGAAATCATAATGTTTAGCAAGTGTCATACAGATTTTTGTCATACATGTCTTAGATTACAAGTTTCAAATTTGACGTGGTCGCCCATTTCTCCGGTGCCAGCGAGCTCCCTACACATATTACCCATCAACCTCTGACTCCCCTCCATCGACGACGTTGTTGCCAGTCGTATAGTTGTCGGCTCCAGGTCGCTCCAGCTCGGCATCGCTTGGACGTCGCTGCCACCAGCGTTACCCCCATTTCCGCCTCCGTCTGTGTCCCGTCATCTTCTCCTACGAGTGAAATCGGCTGATGCAAGTTCCATTTTCAGACAACCAAATGCCCTAACTACTTTTTTGTCTTATTTAGATACCTAAACTCTTAAAAGTGTGCGTGCACTAAATGGACTTCCCGAGCACATGCAGCGATAGCCGTTGGATCCGTCGCAATCTGCGCGCGGTCGGGCCCAGGTGTAACCTGGTCGGGGCGAGGCCGAGCGGCGCATCGCGTGGTGGTGGGGCCAGGTGGAATATGGTCGAGACGAGCGACTCGCCTGGGTGGGGCCCGCCATTATCGCTCTCTCCCCCATTCGGCGGAGTGGGCGGTTTCTTCTTCCCCTCTCCCTCGCCCAAATCGCCCCCAAAGCGAACCCTCGCCGCTGCCCAAATTCATCGTAGTTCGCCACACATCGGTTCTCTCGAGAGGCGTTCGGCGTCGTGGGTGGCCGGTGGCTGGAGTTGCTCTACCCCGCGGTACGCTGGCCGCGGGGAGCGGCTCTCGCTCGTGAGCTCGGCGATCGCGCAGTGCTCGACTCGCGGGGGTGGCGGACGGTTGCGAAGTGAGGCTGGCCTCATTTTGTGCGGTGGCGAAGGAAGGAGAAGGTATGTTGACGCGATTCTTAACCCCCATCCCTGCTCTCATCTCTCCATTTCTGGCGATGGGAGTTTCTCCCGTTCGTGGCGTTCTGTCTAGGAGCAACTAGTGCTTCTATCGATTTGCTAGTCTATTTTATGGTCGAGGTAGTTTTTCCCCCGTAGATCATGATGTGTTCGGCAGCAACATTAGTTAGGTTAGGTACTGGGTATGAAATCCCCCCCTTAATCTCCATATCCGTCCATGTTTGTTAATGTGAGCGCCGGATTTGTGTGATTTTGTGGTCGAACTAGTTTGAGGGCTCGTTTGGTAAGTCAAGATCCACCCGGG